AATAATAAATAATTTTTGATATACTAGTCCAATTTAGATGATTTAACTACCAAAATGATCCTCTCAAAGAGAGGATTTCAACAAGCCCAAAATCATAAAAATTCCAATTATAGAATCATAAGATTGATATAGATTTGTGTATTATTACTACAGTATATAGTAGTATAGTATTTATTTAATAATATAGTATAGTACACAAATCTATATCGATCTTATGATCCTGTGATTGGAATTTTATGATTTTGGGCTTGTTGGAATCCTCTCAACGAGAGGATCAGTTTGGTAGTTAAATCATCCAAATTGGACTAGTATATCAAAAGTTATAAGCTATTATATTTATAAATATTTTTAATAATAATTTTAATATAAGTAAAATTTGATTGGCTGTTAAACCAGTCAGGTAGAGGGGAGGGGGTAGGCTCTATAGTAAATGGAAATCAGGTGATTTCTGGTGCCCCCCTAACGCACCATATCTGTAAAACACATAGTTGCAATTTATTAGGTTGTCTGAATTTAAAAAGTAAACAATGTTGATTTTTTAGAGAAGGTAAGCCAAATTTCCCACTTTTTTGAAAAATTTAGAAGACCGATAGGGAAGCAAGAATGAGTAAAGAGGAGAACTACTTATCCAAGTAAAAGAGTGCAGCTTGGAAAAACTAAAATTTTGTTGTATCCTCTGTGTTTTTTTGATAATAGTCGAGTAGTTTTATTGACAAAGTTGGGCTTTGCCCATACTCCACCAAGATTTTATATACAAGGGCGCCACCTCCGGGTTTATTGTTATCTTATCAGTTAACTTGTATAGTAACGCTTCTGGCTTGCATGCCAAATATCTTTTAGAAAAGTTCTGCAGAGTAAACGTTGACCTCTAAACAAACCACTATGTCAACCACAACTCTTTAACAAAAATTTGTTTTTCTGTTAGTGAGAAATTTTTTAAATATATATAAAATAACACAAAATATTAAATATTTTGTGATCCTATAATTGGATTTTAATGATTTTAGGCTTGTTAAAATCCTCTTATTGAAAGGATCATTTTGGTATTAAATCATCTAAATTGGCCTAGTAGGTCAAAAGTTATTCAAGTTTAAATATTTTATTATTATATTATATACTATAATTTTATAATTTTGGCCAGAATTATAAAATTTGACCAGAATTATAACCTGATATTTTGGGGATCCACCCATCTACCCCAAAATTACATAATTTCTGGAAGCTCCCTTAATAGTATTTGCGCAGCAAGTATGGGCATATCTAATAATACAACTCACTTTGGCAGCTTTTTTCTCTTTATATTAATAGAAGAAAAATTAACTCCTCCAAATACAAATCTATAGTATTTTTCCTTCAATTGGTATTGCCCAACTGTCAATAAATTAATTAATGAATATCTCTGTTCTTATTGTAATCAATACTATGCTTTAAAGGGAGCTTTGAAAATCCATACTAGAAAATGTAAAAAATCTAACTTATCTTTGGATATTCAAGATTATGAAAGTAGTGAAGCTATGCAGGTGGATGAAGAAATAGTACTGGAAGATTTATTAGAAATTTATCCTCAGCAAGTACAAGTTTAAGAAAATTTGATTGCAGATAGAGTATTAATGGTTAACTGGAATACTTGGAAGCAATGTGAGTAGGAAATGAATAATTAATTACTTACTATACATACAAGATTAATGTGTAACATTGTGTGTCCAAAAAATAAAACAGATATGATTTTTGTATTACTTTACGCAATAATTTCTAGAATAACTTTTAACTATATAATTTTGTAACAAATAATGCAGATCAATTTTTAAAATAGTATTTATATGTATTGTTACAGAGTAGTAGCCTTCTTAATTTACTCTATAACGACGACACAGCACAGGGAATCCTTTCGTAGGTATA